CGCAAACAAACGGCCCTCAGTCCCCGGCGGCCCCGCTATCCTGGGAAATATTCTATTTTACGTTCAATATTCATGGAAATATTCTCATTCCCGTGGGAAAATAGAATATTTCCCACGGGAAATGAGATGTTTTTCCGCGGAAAAAAGTAGCCTATGTCACTCTACAGCTTCATTCCCGTGGGAAAATAGAATATGTTGCAAAAGTTTCTCCTTCTTTCACGTTGCAACAGAGCGTCGGCATGGCATGAATTTTGGTATCCCCATACCGTACCATAGTTCGGTGGCTGTAGAGTGACATAGGCTAATCATGGGGGGATATTTGCCATAGTTGCCACGCTTGGCGAGCGGGTTGGCAACCGCAGTTTTTTATTTTATCACAGTTGTTATCAGGAAGATGCTGCTGCCCATCTCCTGCCTGTCTCCCTCTGTCGCCTCTTACGACACCCACGGGAAGATATGGGGTAGTGGATATTCTCAACCGCCACTACACGGCAAGAATAATGATGTGTTTCGTATGATAAGTTTAGAGTAATAGAGACCCTTTTAAGGCATTCTATGTTAGTCCCAGAGGGGGACAATGCGTCTACATTTTGATTCTTAATTGAGTGTCGTAGTATGATACGAGTCACATCATCCACTTACCATCAGGTGGACTGTATGCTCGTTTATCACCCTTATTCTATAAAAAAAAAAACAACTATATACTTATTTTTCCTACCAGAATATATAAATATAAACTCGTAGATTACAACTATGCTAGGTAGCTAGGATAAGCAAAAACGAAGGAACGTATAGACTCAGACCAATGGAGTATGTTTGTAGGCCGGTGCTTGCATTTTTACGAGGTTTTATAACTCGCAAAGCATGTCTCTATAAATTATTTTCTTGGTTTGATAAAACGTTTTTTCGTGGTGTTCTTATTTGGATACCATCGTGAAATAGCAGCTTAATGCTGCTGTGTTTCGTATGGTGAGTGTAAAGAACCGGAGACCCTTTTTTACAGGAAACGAGGCATTCCATTTTAGTATTCATACATGTATAATTAGTACATACAAATAACTATGACTATATACGTTTGCTTAGCAAAATATATGACGTAGATGATTCATATAAAACATAATACATAAACACTCACGCCTGTCACCCAGAAGGGTAGGCAGAGACTACAGACTTTCATTTAGCACGATCTTGACAGACCTGTCTCGCCTCCTTCACATCCATATACCTACGCATACATGCTCTTCGGTTAAGGGTATTCCTATAATAATAAAATAAGGGTAAGGGTACGATTCATATTAGAAGTGTTATTATCTTCAATAATTGTTGCATTTAATAAGTGTTGTTTAAATCGTGGTGGAGCCACACTGAATCGTGTTTTCGTCTAAGATAATCCTTAACATTAATCCTCAACTTTACCATATATTTATTTCAAAATTAATTCTGCAATATTTTCGGCATAACGGAGGATCTTGCTAAGCCATTTGAGGTTATATTTCCCCTTAATGCTGCTGTGTTTCGTATGGTGAGTGTAGAGAACCGGAGACCCTTTTTACTGGTAACGAGGCATTTCATCTTAGTCCTCACGGGTGACAACGCATCTGCATTTTGATTCTTAATCGAGGATAGATGTAGATGTTTTTGTCGTTTGTCAGCCTTTTTCTATTTAAAAAAATGTAATTTCTTTTAAGCGTGTTGTGATATTCATAACCAAATATTTTGTGGGTATAAATTTTTTTTAAATACGATTCATTTGTTAGGTTGAGTGTGTAGTGGCGTTGTTACAATACCGTTCCATATCGTTCTCGCGGGCGTCGCTAGAGGCGACGAAGGGAAACAAACAAGGAGGAGGAGATGGGCAGCAGCGTCTTCCTAATATTAACTAGAAAATAAAAACTGTGTCTGCCAACCGTCAACCCGTGTGAAGTGATGACCCACTACCAAAGATTTAAATCGTTAGATGCGCCTTGAAAAACTGTTGCATTATTTTTAATGTGTGCGTTTGCAAGACGCTGACACTAATGCGTGCGTTACCACAGCATGTCCGTCTGTTTACAAGTATGTCTATTTATACATGATTCCTTTGTAAACCGCTTCCTTGATACATCCGAGTATTTAACTAAATTGGTTATTAGATGGTTATTAATGCGGGAAATAGAGTAAATGGGGCAATAGATTGTGTAGAGTCAAAATGTGTCGAAAAAGGCACGTATGGCAATTCACAATGCTGTGTTGGTCCCTACTTTAACGTATGGTAGTGAAAGTTGGGTGTGGCAGAAGAAGCACGAGAGTAGAATAAACGCAGTAGAAATGCGGTCGTTAAGGAGTATGTTGGGGCTGAATTTGAATGACAGGGTAAGAAATTGTGTAATAAGAGAAGAGTGTGGTTTGCAAGATGATGTTGTGACGAGGATTAAGAAAGGAATGCTTCGGTGGTTTGGTCATGTGGAAAGAATAAATGAGGAGAGAGTGACAAAGAAAATTTATGGCGCAGAAGTGAATGGCAGAGTCGGAAAGGGACGTCCTAGGCGAAAATTTATCGACCAAATTGGCGATTTATTGAAAACGGGCCAAATTAGGAGTACCCTTAACCGACGAGCATGTAGGCAGGTAGCGTAGGTGTATGGATGTGAAGGAGGCAAGAGATGTGTGTCAGGATCGTGCCAAATGGAAGTCTGTAGTCTCTGCCTACCCCTCTGGATGACAGGCGTGAGTGTTTATGTTTTATGTTATGGTTATTAGAAGAGTACTAAGACAATAATGTCATCTCTTATTATCTTATATGATACTTATATTTTCTCTGTCGCACAGTTTCCGTTTGCCCGTAATTATTTAGTAGTATTTTCTGACATCGGAATAAAATATATCCAATATTTAATAAAATACAGATATTTACTACGAGGGTGGCACTGAAAATTTCGGGAATCAAGGAAGTGACACAACATTACTATTTAAAAATGTATTTATTGCTTTTCGAAGTATTCTCCGCGAAATTTGACACATTTTTCCATACGATGGAACCAATCATTGAAAGCAACCATTCCATTGGGAAGTTGGGGTCTCCAAAATGGCCGTTTTGTAGGCGTCCACAGCTTCTTCAGGTGATGAAAATCTCTGTCCACGCAATTTATTCTTTATTTTAGGGAAAGTATAGAAATCATTCGGGCTTAGGTCGGGGCTGTACGGCGGATGGTCCAATAATTCTATGTTTTCTTGCTCTAAAAACTCTTTTGTTCTGTGTGCGGTGTGAGAACTCGCATTGTCGTGATGGAGGATGATGCGGCGGTTGCAGTTCTCTTTAAGGAGTTCAGAAACAGTGGCGATGCTTCTATACAAGCCCAAAAGCCCGGCTTGCCTCATTAAGATGAATCAATCAATTATATTAAGTAATAAAATAACTCGTAAACTGTTTTAAACTATTTCAAATTTCCCACGCACTCTGTGCGACCTCGTAGCCTTACGAATACTGCTGTCATACATATAAGGAGAGTTGAATTGAGCGATTGGTTTTCTCCCTCGCACGCGTGGGCTTTTTAGCGGGCTTTCGAGAAGGCGATCGCTCCCTTTCTAACTTCTGGCAAAATATTCTGTAATGAAATATAACTACGATTGTATTAATAGCAATTAGTATTATAGTTCTAACACTTTTGACTGCCTTCTTAGTCCAATGGCAGTAAACGCAATTGCTGATCATGTGGTCCCAAGTTCGAAACCCGAGTCGGGTCAAGAATCATTTATTGGGTTTTCCGTCACAAAATTCTCAGTAGCAGTAGTATTACACTTATTGTATATGTTAGTATTATACTTACGCCATTATTAAAAATCAATCTGGAACCCTTTAATATAGTTTTATAAATAAAACACATAGTTGTTTGAGTCTTTTAATGATCAAAAGTGAATTCTAAACATCAAATAAATACTAATTGGAAATATCTTATGTTATTTGATAATTTATTGTAGATTAATTAAAAATTGTCACTTCGTAACTTTAAATTCAAAAGTGTAGCTTTTCAGAATAATCACGTAACTAGACAAACTATGCAAACCTGGTACGCGCTTTGTCATAATGATGGCACGGGTGACATGGTTTGCGTGATTGTCACGCTTTTGTTTGTCAAAGCGGGACATTTTTACGTATTTTGGGGAAAGCGCGACACAAACATACAAATCGGGAACGTCCCGCGTAAAGTGGGACGTATGGTCACGTTAGGTATTAAGCTAGTCGAGAGAGGAGGCGCGCGGCCGACGTCGACGAGCCGACGATATGTTAGCAAGTTCGTGTCACATTTCAATGTTTAGTGTTCACATTGTGTCAAAAACAAAAAGTACTTCTACTTTGTGCATTGTGTGTTGAGCTTGAGCGAATGTATTGCGAGTTTAAAATTTATGCTTTTTTAAAGATTTTTAGTGAAAATGGAAGGAAAAAGTGTTCTTTGTGATGAATTGAAGTGTGTTAAAGTGCTAATCGGCGAGGAAAAGGTAAAATCTTTATACTTTGTTGAGAAAAAACAGCTCATATCCTCGCCACAACCAACGCCTGATCTGTGTATTTCTCAGATGAGTAAAACCCATAAACGGCAATTTAATAGATCTGTTTACAAAACTCATTGGATTAATTATTTTGAAATGTCCAACCAGGAATTAGGGTGGTCAGCAATACAGCCAGCCTATGATGAACTTGACTATCAATTCAGCTTGTCCATCAAGAGCTGGCTACAATGCCGATCGAGATGTGATGGCCTGGTCCGACGCTACATTGCACTCTTGGCCATCATGGTCCAGGCTTTAGTAATGTACATGTATATATTATTTTCAGGTATATGATCGTAAAGGCCTCAAATCGAATACCTTGGGAAGAGCCGCTATCTTATCTCGGGAAATAGAAGATCTTGTAAAAAACCTGCGTGACATGGAGAAGCATGGTTTCGGACTGACAAGGAAAGAATTATTAGAGACAGTGGGTCAGTATGTGTCAAATAATAACATTAAAAATCCATTTAAAAATGGCGTGCCTGGAGAAGATTGGTTTCTTGCATTTAAAAAAAAGGCATAATCTTTCAATTAAGAAACCACAGCCGGTGGAACATGCGAGAAAACAGGCATGTAGCCCGTATATTATATATCCCTACTTTAATTTACTGGAACAGGCACTAACAGAACTTAAATTACTAGACAGACCATCTCACATATGGAATGTCGACGAAACAAGCTTTTCAAAAGATCCTTCTAAGTCAAAAGTAGTAGGAATTAAAGGATTTACTTCGACGAGAACAATCGCTTCTCCTGGAAAGGATAATACCACCGTCCTATTAGGTTGTAACGCTCTTGGAGAGAAAACTCCACCGCTAAAAGTGTTCAAGGGGAAAAATGTATGGGACGAATGGACAACAGACGACGGGTATCCTGGGACAGCATATGCGGCAACCAGTAATGGCTGGATGGAGACTGCGGTTTTCGAAAATTATATCGAAAAAGTTTTTTTAAAAACAGTAGGAACAAAACGTCCCATCCTTTTGATATTCGACGGGCACGCAACACATGTTGGTATAAACCTTATTAAAAAGGCTAGAGAAGCTGAAATTACAATTTTAAAAATACCTCCCCATACCAGCCATCTTTTATAACCACTAGATTTAGCTGTAAACAAATCTTTAAAAGATCGATGGGACGTTGCCCTTGTAAAGTGGCAGAGGTTGAACATTGGGAAGGCGTTGCCAAAAAAAGATTTCTCAAAAATGTTTGGGCAAATTTGGGGTGCATTGGACCCAGCTATATATGCAGCTGGTTTTCGTAAATCGGGGATTTATCCCCTTAATAAAAATGCCATCTTAGAAAATAAGTTCAATCAAGTTCTTTTGCGAGAATGGAAACATAATTCAACGTGTGATGCTACAAATATTATCGAAGACCCAATTAAGCAAGTACTGAATGATGTGCCGCTGTGTACTGAGCAGCCCAAATACAGCCCGGAGTCGTTGCTAGCTCTCTCTCTAAAAAGCATCGACTTGACTCTATATATTCCTATATTTTCGGATTTCCCACAGAATTCGACAGAAGAATATAGTGGTAACTCTTTGAACCAGCTCAGTTACGAATCAACGAGCTCAGTAAACATCAGGAAGCCCAAAAATCAAATTCTAGAAAACAGAGTTGTCAGGTTCGAAGATCTACTATTATCGAGAATAAAAGCAGGGACCAGCTCCAAAACTAAAAGAAAGCGTATGGCAACTGGAGCAGAAGTAATAACCCGTGACGATGTATTAATAACTTTGGAGAAAATAGATAAGGAAAAGTAAACCGGTTTTAACAAAGTTACAAGAAAAAAAAAACAAAAGCAGAGCAAAAAATTCAAAACCACATACAGGAAAATAAACTCAACCCAAAACGAAGAAAAGAATATATACCAGAACAAAATCAACAAAGAGGACAAAACTCAAAAGTAATAGCAGAGAAAGACATTAAAAAAGAAGTACGTGAAATTAAAGCAAACCCCAAAAAAATTAACAAAAAGGACAAAACTCAAAAACAGTGACAAAAATAAAAGCGATAAATAATAATAGAAAAAAACGAAAACATTCGTCTTCGACTGACACTGACACAGAAATTAAATACGACGAAGATAGCGACGATTACGATTTTTGGGAAAAAATACTGCATGGTAGTAGTGATGATGACAAAGCAGAAGATATAGAACTCGATGATGGCAAGGAAAACGATGTTAATTCAGTGGGTAAAAATGATTGAGTGCTGGTTAAATTTTGCACAAAAAAAGTCGCTCAAACATTATGTAGGAGTCGTTATAAATATAAATGATGACGGTTCTCCTGTAATAAAATACACAAGAAGGAAATCAAAAGGAGAAACATCAACTGTTTTTGCTTTCCCTGCAGTGGACGACATCTCGGAATTAAACACACCGAGGACATTATCACAAAATTGCCCACACCAGCAATTGGTCGAAGAGGCCAAGTTATTTTTAAAATGTCTTTTAATTCTTTTAATATTCAGTAGATGTACATAATTAAATATTTCCTTAATGTTTATTACATGGTATAAAAAAATATTGTTTTAGTTGACTACCCCTGCCTCCACATAATATGTTTCCCTTACCCCAAATTCCGTTTTTAATCAATAATTTATACTTTTAGCCCTGTTTCATTGGAATAAAATTCATTTTCAATCAACGACGTTCTTAGATATGAAATAGTTCTAGAATAATCAAGAGAGGTACTGTATTTATTAATATACGCAGACCGTTTCCCTTACCCCAAAAACAGGGAAAGTGGAACAAAAGTACTAGCCTAACAAATATTATAGTTGGCTTATATGGATGTTCAATCATGGAAAGATAACGGACATAAATATACTTTATATATATCAAAACTATAAAACGACATTCTATAAAGCAGCTAGAGTATAAAATATTACGTGAGAAATAAAGTATGTTCATCTTACCCCACAAGACCCTAATTTGTTTTCGGATATTTTGCAGATTGTCGCAAATCTGCAGAAATGGGACGGCGATACGATCTTGGCCGCCGAGAATTTTGAAAACACATTGTGTTCATTTAATTTCAATTTTTTTCTTTTAATATTTCAACGGGTATTTGAAAAAACCGACTGCTTGTACAATATTCTACAAAAATCACAAGTTGATGTCGATTATTGCAGTCATAATATAAAGGAGTTTCAGACATGGTTACTTACTGAATTTCAGTCAGATTTTGATCACATTTATGAAAACACATTACAAAATACCTCTGCTCCTCGTTTGAGACGCAATGTGCGCTGTGCTCAGACAGAATATAAACGACTTTTTATTGAAATAATTGGTAACATATCTTCAGAAATTAATGGCCGATATTCTGAAATTTTCAAATTAAAATTTTTCCAATTGTTCAACAACAAACTATTCGAAAAATATCGTTCAGATTTTCCTTTAGAGGCATTAGATTCATTATTTGAAAATTACATAAACCATTTTGATAAATAAACATTGAAAAACCAATTGATTTCATTGTATTCCTCCCCTGAATTAAAAGACCGTAATGTTTTCGAACTCATTGACTTTATAAACGAAAATAGTTTTGAAGAGGCCTTTCCCCAACTTTTAAAGTTAGCTTATCTTGTCGTAACTATTCCAGCCACAAGTTCCTCCGCGGAACGTGCTTTCTCATCTCTGAAGCGCATCCATATTTATTTGAGAAATACACAAGGTCAAGAGCGTCTTTCAGACATCAATTATCGCGATTGAAAAACAGTTATTGGTACAATTAAAACGTTCACCAACATTTTACGCGGACGTAATTAAATCTTTCCTTAAGAAAGAGAGACGATTCGATTTAGAATATAAATAATTTGTTTTTTTAATTTTTGTACATAGTTTGTTTATACTTTGTTCATGCTTTTCTTTTGTTCATGTATTGTATTGTATGTAAACATCTTTTTTTTCGCTCAAGCAAACCCAAACGGCTTTTTTCAAAGCCACCGAAGGTATGCAATTGCTGATATGTCATACAATCTATCTAGCAGTAGTATGCCTTCGGTGTACTTTGTTAAACACATCCTCGACAGAACTGATTATAACACTGAAGAGTGAAGACAGATCAAGATAGATGTATTTTTAAAACTGCTAAAAAACAAAAGCATATCTTGGGCTTGCCCCAGTTTGGAGCCCTAGCTTCGCCACTGCAGAAATGACCTGTGGCAAACAAATACTAGCATACCATTCTGCATTAACCGTTCTTTGTCCCTCAAGAGGAATAGTCGTAACATGGTTTTGGAGACAAACGTGGCCACCATTTTTTTGTTCGTTCACGGAGTGTTGCAAAAAAATTTTTGCAACACTCCGTGAATGAACAATTTTTGTTGGCTTTAACTCATTTTCGAACACCCAAACTCGTGACTGGTTTTTTTGTTTCGGGTTCGTACGTATATCCAGGATTCGTCACCTGATACGATGTTGTGTACAGCATTTGAGGATCCTGCGTGGAATCTTTCGAGAGTTCTGACGCACCAAGGAACGCGAGCCGCTTTTTGCTCTTCACAGAGCGAATGCGGTATCCATCGGTAAAACAACTTTTTTACACCTAATTGTTCATGCAAGATTATTTGTAATGGGTTTTTCAACAAGAACTTTGTTTTTCAATTGGGGCAACACCAGCAACATGACAGTTTTGACATTTAGTTTTTTGACCTATTCGTAGTAGATGCTTTGGCAATTGCAACAATGAATTCGATTTCGCTCGAAAATCGCATTAAAATAATTAAAATCCACTATGAAAATGGTGGTTCTGTTAAAGTTACGTTTCGTAAAATTCGTGATATTTTCGGACAACATAATCGTCCTTCTGAGACCGCTATTAAGAATTTGGTCGCTAAATTTGAATCGACAGGCTCGGTACAAAATGTGCCAACACCAACGCGTGTTCGACCGGGTCGTTCAACCGAAAACATCGCAGCTATGAGCCACAGTGTTGAAGAAGATCCAAATTTGTCAATTCCTCGACGTTCTCAACAATTGGGGTTATCCAAAACCACCACATGGCGAATTTTGGGTAAGGATTTGGCTTTGAAGCCTTACAAGGTTCAACTGGTGCAGGAATTGAAGCTGACCGACCATTCACATCGCCGTAGATTCGCTCAATTCATTCAGGAACAGCCCGCTGGTTTTTCTGAAAAAAATCATTTTTTCAGACGAAGCCCATTTTCGCTTGTCAGGGTACGTCAACAACCCCCCCCGAACGGGTTCCCGCCTTGTCGTGGCGGGGGAGCTTAGTAGCCGTGGCTTGGTCTCCCCCGGTGAACAAAGAGGAACCCACGTGGCTGGCCCGAGGTGAAGGGCCGGCCTGAGGTGGCCGCTCCGAGTGGGCTTGGGGAGCCCACTTCGGATGTGTGCTGATGGACTGCAGCGAGTGAGGACTCGCGCACCCTCTACCGCTGCAGCCGAGGTGGAGTCGCGGAGGAAGAGGAGTGTTGGTATGGCGATGCGCCACTCGCCCTATCCTTCGCGACTCAAACGGGGCCGCACCGTTGATGCGGTGGTGGTGGGGCTGCGGGGGGAGAGGATTGTCGGTATTGCGAGGCGCCGCTCTCCCTACCCTCCGCAGCCGAATCTTGGTTGGCGGCGGAGCCATAGACCAGATCCGCCGCTGGGGTCGGGAAGGCTAGTACTTCTAAGTGCTCGTTTTTCCTGGCCCCATGGCCTTTGTGCATCGGACGCGGGGGCGTCTGTTGCACAGACGTAGTTGGAGGCCGTGGAGGAAGGCGCGCCATGTGTTCTGGTGCGCCTTACCTGGGAAGGAGAACGGGGAGGAATTTTCCTCTCCCGAGGAGGTGCTGCCATGGGGCGGCAGGCGCTAGTAGGGCCGCGGATGTGTGCGAAAGCGTTCCCGTAGCCCTGCCAATATGCGACAAAGGTGGAACACCATGGGGTTTTAGTCGGTGCGAGTCCGACATAACCCGTCCTTGCCCCCGCGAGGCGGGTATGCGTAGGCATTTCCCCATGCAAAAAAAAAAAAAAAAAAAAAAAGGGTACGTCAACAAGCAAAATTGCCGCATTTGGGCTTCTGAAAATCCTAAAGCGATTATTGAGAAGCCTTTGCATGCTCAACGTGTCACTGTATGGTGCTCTATGTGCTCTGGAGGCGTGATTGGGCCGTTTTTTTCGAAGATGAGGCTGGAAATGCGGTAACGGTCAATGGATCACGCTATCGCGAGATGTTAGTATCTCAATTTTGGCCTATTATTGATGATACAGCCAACGAAACGATCAATTTATTGCAAACCAAATTTCCCGATAGCATAATTTCACGAAATTCAGCTGTTAAATGGCCAGCCAGATCGTGTGATAAATCACCACTGGATTATTTTTTGGGGCTATGTTAAGGACAGAGTCTATACGGAGCCAATCGAATCGATCGCGGCCTTAAAACTCAAAATCCACGACGTGATTAACGAAATAGACCCGCCATTTTGCCAAAAAGTGATTAAAAACTTTGATGAAAGAATCGACATCTGTCAGGGTGGTCGTAGTAGACATTTGCCAGATATAATTTTTCATTCATAATTGCCAAACTTTTCTCTTCGTAATACAATAAAAATTTGAATCATCTTCATCTAAACTCTTTGTTCTATTTTGTTTTAGAAAACAAAGTTCTTGTTGAAAAACCCTTTATTTGACTCATGCCAATGTCTAAAGTTGCCTGAATTTCGCGGTATGTCACATGTCAATCTTCCTCAATCAGCTTACGCACAGCATCAACGTTTTCTTGGGTGACTGCAGTTTTTCGACGAC